AACCAAAGGCTACATATGCAAATTTTAAATAAATATTCTGTGATAGAAGAGATATCCTGAAATGAAATCTTTTGTATGCCATATATATTAGAAATATAAAAAAATGACATTTCTTCAATGCAAGTTACTGTTCAGTACACAGTCCTGAAGGACAAAACATTATCAGAGAACAATTCAAGAGGCACTATCACCTCATACCACAGTTTGACTGAAATAAGGACCAATTCTGCAGTAAGGAGGAGACGAAAATACGAGGAAAAAAAATCCGCAATTTAAACCTTCCACTAGCTAACGAGTGTTCCATTTTTGAGACGTTTGTTTTAACATTATCTTAGAAAGAAGACTACTTTTTTGCATCCCAGAAACATCAGAGCACATTATAATCTCCATCACTAGAACACTCCATTTACTCCTCAGGATGCTGTTAAATTGATTTTGGAGTTTACTGGATAGTCTATATTGTAATGAAGGGCAAAGCTGTTATTACCATAGCAATAAAACACAACAACTTTTGGGCTCTGAGTTGAATAGAAAATTTTGAAATCTAAAACACTGAAGTAGATTTTTTTTAATCATCAATTTCAAAGCTGTTTGAAAGCTAAAGAAAAGAACGGCCAGATTGTCAATTTCAGAAAGCCAATTCCTTTTGGGAGTATGGAATGGGCAGCATCAACAAAATTCGTCCACAACACTTAATACCTTAGTAACTTGAGTGCAAACGTAAGACTGGCTAACAGACGACTTGGTTCTCAGAATGTCCAGCTGAAACAGGAGAATGATTTATCCCCACTTAACTCCCAAGTCAAACAAACACATACAAACAAAACCAGCTCCCAGAACGCAATGCACTTGCCTAAAACAAGGGCCCAGATGCAGGGCTGAGTTACAGGTTTTCACTGATATGACATAAAATTTGCTGTTAACTCATTACAAACTGAAAGTAAAGAGAGCTTATCTAATCGTCTTTCTTCAAGGTTCAACCCCAATTTTTTTTATATCTTGGATTAGCCATAGGCTAAAAGTACCCCCATCGACTACTGTGGTTGTAATAGTAATGTCTTAAGCCACAGCAACTGCTTTCTCTCATGGCCCACCACCTCTCTCTGTCTCAACAGATCTCTAGTAGATGCCCTTCTGGGGACACATTGCTCTCCATACCTTTGGGACTTTGGGCTCTCTGCTTAAAGAGGAATCTTTAAAGGAGCTTTAGTGACTATGTGAACAATCCAGTTACTATTTTTTTTTTCAATTAAATATAAGAATACAATCCTAAGGATTCAGAAAGTCTTAAAACATAGCCAAAAAATGCATCCTACAGGATTCACCCTCTAGTGTAACTCTTGATAAACTCTGAAATCTCATTATTTCTTCTGACTTGACTTACAAATTTGTGGCATTTGGCAATACATCTGTGGGTACCACCCAGGGTGGCCCTTCCATCTAGGGATACCTCACCAGGGAGAACTGAAAGGATACAACCAGTTCATTTCACACCACCTGATCAGGGCAGAAAGTTGCTGCTCTGGGACCACCCATCAGACCGAACTCATCACCCAAGACGAAGTAATGTCTCAGGAAAAGAAAATGTTGAATTCATTAAGAGTTTTACATTTTCATCCCAACTTGGCTAATACAAGAATCACCACATCACGTACTGCACTCAAGTTAAGCAAAATTTGACCCCAAAGTAGCAACAGTTATGGACAAGTTTGCATTCCAAAAATATATACATTTAAAACAGACATGGCACTAAGTTACTTTGCTGCAAGCAGTAATTTATGAAATGCTTGTTACACCTCCACAATCTTTTTGTTCTTAAATTCCATTTAATATGCCAATCTTATTTCAGGAGGAAATAAATTAACTCTGATGCTTTGTGCCAATGCAGATGAGCTTCCCACACACCTGTATTGTGTTTCACACTTCAGTTAGTCATCCAGATTACGAAAAATGAACAAAGTACTTCTAACCAGATCCCATTCCCAAGGCTAAGCATGCGGGAAGAGGAAGAAAGAAGACGACTATCTCACAGAGCCCCTCAGTTTTGACAGTGTGATGTCTAGTTGCAGCTATGGACAAACACCTTCACCAAAAAGAACTATCAGTTTAGATCGAACGCAGCCCAGGAAGCCCACAGGGATGGCCCCACCACGATTCGGTCCCTGATGCTGCAATTCCCGTGAGCCCTAGCCAGGACAGGCTGCAAACCACTCCTGCTTCCACCAACTTTCATAACTCAAACTCTCCATTATAAAAAGATCAGTGGGAAAATGGATAAATCTGCCTCTAACGCGAGAAAGATGATGATGCTGCAGTGCAGTGCATGGTTCTGTACCAGGAGATCCCACACTGAAAGACTTTCTGGAGAACACCCAGCTTTTCTGTCTCCGCTAATCCCCATTCCACTATCTAGAATATGACTAAAATCACATATATTTGTATTGTGGTAGCTGCAAGTTAATGTCCTGCCTAAATTATCAACTGTTATTAGAACCCCAGACAATTGCTTAATAAAAATTTAATCATATTGTAATTTCTAATCATCATTAAAGATGCTTAACAAGTTAATCTCTCTATTGTGCTCCCCTAACATTGCAGATCAGAAAGTCAACTGGCATAAGGCGGCACAGCTTCACCAATACTAATAGGGCTACTTTCACATTACTCCAGCTGAGGATCTGGCCCCAAGAGAAAATAGCAGTATTAAAATCCTCTCGCTACAGCTTTTGATTGTTTCTCTGCAATGCTTTGTAGTTAATCCAAAACAATAACAAAAGCAACAGATTATGACTTTAAAAAAACACAGCATAAATCAAGCTATTTCATGGAGCTCTATCTTCTGCTGTCTGTGGTAGAGCAAACACAGCACTACGCTACAGATCGAAGGTCTCCTCTCCTCACCTCTTTACAGCTCAAAAACTCCTCATCTTGACTTTGTCCATGCATCACTACGTTTGTCTGACAGCAACGCTCACACACAGAAAACGTGGGAGGACCATCAACAGCCAGTGTGTGTGTCTTTCAGTTCAGATCTGTTCCAACTGCCTAGACAAGGAGTGAAATAATGCTCTGTAACCTCAGCCTTGAAGAAGAACGTATTGGTTCACTTCAGGAAACCAACACGTTTCCTCATCTTTCCAGTGGACCGGCAATCCGTGCTCAAGAGAGTTTGAGGACCAAACTGCAAGTCAGCTTCAGCTGTGTTAGATCATTACACAGAGATGCATACAGCAAACACATTTGGCTCTTGTTTCCCTTGTATTTTTTTATGTTTCTTCAATAATCCCATTACACTCTCTAAATTCACAAAGTGGTCATGGGAGAACAACTCTGAGGCTGCTCTGCGGTGCGTGCATACCATACACCCCGCAACCACATCTTTTTGTGGCTTCAGCTGCAGGCAGGTGAAAACAGAAAGCAGAAATGGTTGGTGCAAAAGGGCCACCAGGCTCTACTATAATTCAGCAGTTTCAGCATAGACCTCTTAAGTCGTCAGGGCTGTCCCTTCAGTGCTCCTTGGAGGAGCAGATAGGAGAATGGCAAACCAAACCTAAGTCAAAGAAGGCCGTTCGTATCCTACTTTGTCGGCAAAACAGCTCACTGATTGCATGCAATGGAACTCTGTTACCATGTGCGACATAGTAACCTGGAAGCTAAATATTCGTGTAATAACATTCTATTACATATTGATTTTCATTTATTATATAGAATTCCGATATTAAAACTTAACCTGATTGGCAAAGATCTGTTTCTGCTTACTTTATTGACACTTACAGAACCAAATTAATTGTTTATATCATAATATTTACTTTCAGTGTGACAGCTACACAACCGACTACATCAGGATTTAATCTAAAGAACAACCTTTAAACATTAGTTGGCATTTACTTGAGCAAGTCCTTCATTTTCAGAACTGAACCCGACTCTACAGAAAATGGCAAAATGTGATCACATATTAAAACAAGTAAAACCGGAATCCACCTCTGATAAAAATATTCTTCGTTAGCATTAAGCCCAGTGCAAGATCCGTTGGCCCCCTTATTTTAGTGTCAGATACTTGTTGATCCAACGCTAAGTTGATCCAAGTACATATCCAAAATATGTACTGTGGCATTTCATCCAAAGCCATTTCACTCCATCACACGATCAACAAAATAGACGTTGCATCTCACAGACACGTAACACAACGTTAGGGAATCTCTTCTCTCACGAAAAATCCAAAGAGAAAATTTTGGAAAGTTTCTTCTCTTAATAAATGTAGCGTTAACAGAAAGTATTTCCTGCATCCTTTGGCAAGAAAATAAGCCCACGGCAAAGACCCTGCACGCACTGAGGTGCCCTAAGTCAGTTTTGACACCCTGTTTTGGTTCCGAGCAACGATTCACAAGCCGGTTTTGGCTCCCGACAAAAAACCTGGCCAACGCACAGGCAGGAAAAGCAAATACTCCTACCGCTTCCCAGGGCAGGCACAGGTCAGCGCGGCGCAGCCGAAACCCGCTGCCCCACCGCCACCCTTCCCGCCCGGCTTCGGCCGGGGAACACGTCCTCTCTTTTTCCTGCCATATGACCGCGTATGCTTATGCAAAACTGTTCGTTTCTGCGGCGCCTACGCCCAACGGCAACACCCCGGAGCGAGAGGAGGCAGCCGGACTCCTGCAGCCTGAGACCCCCGCCGAGGGCTCCCAGCTCTCCGGCTCCACGCGGTCCCAGGGCGGCTCCTCGCCCGGGGCGGCCCGGCTCTCCCCGCCGCCGGCGTCGCGCCCCC